CACTTCTCTCCCCTTCGGAAGCGGGGCCAGATGGTGAGTTCGCGAGTCTCCTGGGCGAGGGAGGCATCGCGGTTTTCAGGTGACCTGCACATGGGAAGAAAAGCCAGTTAGCATCCTGCGTCCTCATGCACTCCTTTCTATCCTCCTGGAGAACAAATCCATTATGCATCATTTTCTCCGAGCTCTTTCTCCCTCCGCCAATTATGGTCGGGGGGGGGCGGTTAACAGCTTAGAGTAAAAGGGGCCGGAGGGTGGTCCTGACCTGAGCCGCAGAGGCAGAGGGAATATTCCCACCCATATTCCGAGAGCCTTCCTTCAGCGTCTGAGAAAGTTAGAGTACCTGGAGAGCTGCTGAGAGTTTGCGTACTTCCTGCTGCCCACTGTTAGAGCTGAATTCCCCACTGTAGTCCCTCGCCCACTACAGGATTGCATCATTGTGCACAACTTGTATCTATTTTATTTACTTCCAGAAAATGCTTACGGGTGCTCATCGGGGCCCATGGGTCTCTTAACATATCAGAGGGAACCGCTTGTAATGACTCAGCACTGTCAAGCCTCTACTTTGTTGCTTTCTCCTGCCCGCTCAGGTGGTCCCAATTTATGTTCCACAGCATGCATTTCAGCCTACAGGGCACGGTGGGCACCCTGTTCAACAGGAAAGGTCTTTCAGAGTTGATAGTGTTAAATCATTACTTGGTTGTTGCCCTGAAACTGGAATTAAATGTCATAGACTTTGAGTGTTAGGGAGGAAGTTTGAAGGACATAGAATCAGACAAGATTTCGGCTGTTGGACAAGCACATCCAGTGATAGAGACGCGCATCCTTATATTATCATTAATCCCTCATTCTTGGCCTTGGGTTAACGTTAATGAGAGCTTGACGCCAGGGCCCTCTACCATTCGTAAACAGTCTCCCAAGGCTCTGCTGTTGAAGGGAAGTAGTAAACCATGCTTGTTTGGTCTGTGGGGTTGGTACATGCAGTTATGTGGTTTTGAGTGGGCTCCACAAACTCCGCTCTGATCCTGGGGTGACAGTCGCAGTGCTCTTGGAAACCAAACGCATTTCTGTTGCTCCTGAGATGAAAGGGTTCAGTCCCTGTCTCTGTCGTGTGTGTGCCTGCCTGACTTATATGTTGCAAGTGTGCTCTGGAGCCAGAGGCTCGTTTTGTTTTCTATTTTATAAAATATTCTCATTTTGTCTATAGTTAAGAATGCACACTTGCAGATAGTGCCTGTGGACTTTGGAGTTTGGAGGGTAGGGATAACTCTTGTGAGTCAATTTATTAATAGGCTCATCTTTGGGAAATTAGGCAAAATATTTAGATTGGTACTAAGATACAAAAAGCACATGAATGAAATCTATGTGGATGAATCTGTAGTATAGCATATACCTAACTGGATCTGTAAAAGGAAGTAATTAGTATATCAGCAGCTGCCAGTTTAACAGTTTGTTTGCCTCAGCCTAACTTTTGCTTAATAGAGTGTATTATTCACATGTGGAAAACTAAAACAGAACTTTTAATCCCAGGAATGATGAAGGTATGGCTTGTAAGGCTTTTGTTTGTTTGGTTTTTGGTTTTTGGTTTTTTTGTTTGTTTGTTTGGGTTGTTTTATTTTGTTTTGGTTTGGTTTTGCTCGCGATCATCCAAGGATTTTAGAAGAAAGTGAAACTGAGTTTCAACCAGATGAATGACCTGGTTCTTTTTAAAGTTAAGTATGCATAATTCTCCTTCATGGGGAGACTTCTTCAGGCTGGGCTGACTTGGATCCCCGAACATTGGGACAGCAGCAGGCAGAGGAGGAATTCCGTCCACCTGGTGGTGGCATCCTGGCACTTCGGGTCTTGGCTGATGGAAAGCCTGCTTGGGTAGGGTAGGGTAGGTAACAGGAGTCAACAAGTGCCTTGCAGAAAGCAGATGAAGGCCCAGGAGAGGACAAGGCTAGGAAACTGAATTCACTTTGAGCACCAGGAATGGAGGCATCAGGTTCTTAGGGCTGTGCTTTTCCTGGCCGCCTGCACCTCATGAAAATTAATAGGTGGCTGCCCAGGGTGGGCAGAGTCAGCTTGCTATGGGCTTTATTCTTCCAGGCCACTGCGGAGTTCTCTCTTGATCTGTTATCTGGGAGGTGGAGAGAGCAAGTTTGTGGTTCTTTCAGCTATGAGAGACTTTTCTGTGGATAATTAAGAAGGAGCTATTAGAGAATGTTTGCAGAAAGACCCATCTTCTGTTTAATTTGCCGTGGTTTTCCTAAAAACCCTTTCTAAAGCCCTGTGTCATAGGTGATCACACAGGCTGGGTTCATGTGCAAAGTGTGCAGTGTGTGTGTGTGTGTGTGTGTGTGTGTGTGTGTACACATGATCTTTACATTGGCAGCCAGCCTGCTGCTCTGATAAAGTCTTTTCAGATACCCGAGACTGTCAATGCTACTTGTTATCACGGAGAGGAGGCTGATTACAAATTCAACATCAATGACATTAGAAAGTCCATGCACCTACCTTATTTTCTCTTGACAGATGCTATTCTTTTTTAACATTGGAAAATCTAAAAATTTTCCCCTTTTTCCCCCTCTAAAAAGACAGATTATCTGCTGTTCATAATGACACTCATACAGGCTTCCCAAGTCCACAGTTGAAGCAGGAAATTGCCTCTGGTTTGGGAAACAGTTTTGCAAAGGAGGACTTGGTGTATGTGAATGTGTTTTCCTTTAAGAACTCGCCAAGGGAGGAAGGTCAAAGGAGAACTGTATACAAGAGAAGGCACCAATTCTTAGGCTAGGCTGAGGGGCCTGCTGCTTTCACCAAGGTGGAAGGGCCTCCCAGGGGTGTGCAGGATATTGATCCTGACTGCCAGACTCAGTGATGCTATTGATCAGATTATACAGATAAGAAAATCCCAGTTCATTTAGGTCAGCTATGGATTCTGAAATCTGTTACAGTGGGAAGAGTCTTAATTAGAAACCATGCTTCAGGTAAGCCAACAGTCACAAGGATGTTCTGTCACGGTCATTTAAACTGTTTGGCTGTGACATAATTTCTCTGGCATAAGAAGAGAGGCCCACTGCATTTGAAAGTCACTGAGCACAGGACACAGAATACAATGTGAGTACCTTGTACTTGGTCTTTGCACTGGGTGGCTGCAGTCTAAACTGACCTATTTGCAAGGATATGGCAGCTGTTTTAAGTCTTAGGCTGTTTGGAGGAGGTGCAGGCATATGTGGACGGCATGGAGAGAGAGTCATTTTGGATTCACTTCATCTAGGCTTTGTAGAGACCCACTGAGATGTTTCAGGCCATTCACAGAGGGCAGCCTGCAGAGGCTGTGTTATCAAATGACAGAGGACTGGAGCAGATAAGGATGTGAACAGGAAATTAAAACTGCTGACACCTCTGGACAATTACAAGTGAGGCCCATGTACAAGTGCATTTGAATTCCCTGGGCATGAAACTGAAAACAGGCCAGTGTAGCCTCCTGGGGTGGGACACACAGGCACCTTTTTGAAGCAGGGGTGGACATTTCCTTATTTAGAGCTGTGGAGGAATGTGCCTGAGTTTGTGGTGGCCAAGTAATGACATTGAGGACCGACTGTGGTTAGCATGGCTGCATCTCACTGTGTTGTAGTCACTTATTTTTAGGTCTGAGAACATTCATCAGGCTTGCAATTAAGGGGCGAGGTGAAGCTGCTGGATTGTTAGTTTTTTTTCCCCTGAAGAAGCATCATTTTGAAGATGGGTTTTTGAATATTCAGCCCAGAAGCAGACAGCTGTGAGACATTTTTTAATTCCTTGTCAAATTAGTATGATGACTAAGGTAACTGTATTTTACTTAATCAAATTATTTTATACACTTATGGTTACTCACAATGACAAATTCCCTGTCATTTGCATAATTATTATATAGCCCCAGGTAGTAAGAAATACAATTACTCTGCTTTTTTTTTTCTTACAGCTTGGTTTAACTTGTTTAGCTAATAATCATTAAGGGGAAAAATGTATTTCTGAAAATTTCTTTCAGCCGGTTTTGTGTACATACCTTTGTTTCTTCTGGGTTTTTGCTTGCATGTTTAACAATAGAAGAAACTAAATTAGTTGCAAAGTGGGTAAGACCTGCTTCCTAGGTTTGGTTAACTCTTCCTCTGTTTCCGTTTTAGACACCTGATAAAAAGGATGAACGGGGTCCTGTCCACAGCAATGCTGCCTGGCTAATCGGCTGCTTGGCACCTGGGGCTCGTCTTCCCTCCCTTGCCCAGAGCCGTTCTGTGTCACAGTGCCTGAGTGGCAGAGTCAGGGGGCAGCTCCTGTGGGAAGTGCCCTCAGTTTACCCTGTGTGATCAACAGAGTGGTGAATGCTTCGGTGAAAATAAGATGTTTATTACGGCCAGAGGCTCGTTGCCATGAATCCCCCTCGGCACGCTCCCCCTCGCTCTCCGCACACTGATCCCATCACTCTCGCCACTTTCCATAGCAGCTCTGGAAGTGCTCTTTCCTGTCTTTCCATTGCTGCCTTGATGTCCTGAATCGATGCACAACATTTATGACAATTTCTGTTAAATAAAAGCACTGTAGTGGGTCCTCATCCACTTTATTCATCAGATCTGGCATGTTGCGACTTTGGGCTCTTCTGCCAAGTCAGAATGACCATGAGAGGTAAACATACGGAACTGACTCAGGACATTGAGGCGGCCACG